TCGTGCATCACGGTGGAGGTCGAGACGCTTATGCATCGGGGCCATGGCGCGTCACCTAGTGGATAGACATGTCCCTGACATGTCGTCCTGAGGACGCACGCTGACTGGCGTCGAGCTCGCGTCGCTGAGACAATGAGCTCTCCGCCTGCTGCACCACCGCGTGCTTGAGCAGCGTGCGGATCTCATGATGGGCCCGATGATCCTCAGGTGTCGTGGGCTCTAGGAGCCCTTAGAGCAAGGCCACCATGGCAGCGATGTTCTGTCTTGCCTGAGCAAAGTGTGGGAGGGCTCCATCATCTTCGATGATCCTCCGGTTCACGTCGTGGGCCATGGCGTGCGCACGCCCACTGTCTCCACGACGCTCGATCTCTTGCTCAAGCTCCATGTGCTCCTGCTCCAGCTGGAGTCATGCATCCTCGAGTTCCCTGTGCCGCGCCCTCAGCTGCTCCACCCACAGGCGAGGCAGGGCCCCTGCATCTCCCTCAACCTCGTCGTCAAGGTCGTTTGGTGGGGTAGCCCCTCCCTCGTGGATGCTTTCGACGCGTCCCTCGAGGGTACTTGCCATAAAACATTCTCGCGAGGGGTGATGGCTCCTCCTGCCAGAGTTAGAGTTAGAGAGCGACTCTGAATCTTCCATGAGAAGGTTGTGAAAAGATTCCATGACGTATTTGGTCATCCCCTACGAACGACGTGCATGCGCTGCGCCACGGGGTGGCCAATGGTCCCCGCAGCATTACACAGACCGAATAGGAATGCTGCCGGGGCGCTCCGGATAAAGTATTTCAGGGAGAGCGGTTCCCTTCAGGCAAGCTTTGCCATGACATCGGCGAACGAGAAGGTGAGGCAGCGCAGGTCCTCCCGGGACGGTCGGGGTCCTAGGAAGGCATCGAGCTGGTGCTCTAGCCTCCCATAATCGAAGTCAAGGAGCTAGTCACTCCTAGGGGCATGGCCCTCCGGTGCGTGTAGCTATAGCTCCTCAAGCGCCTTGACGATCACGTCGAGGCTAGCGGAGTGGAGAGGCTGGACGGTGGCAAGGGCCTGCGCCACCTCTCCCTCAGTCCTGATGATGAAATCTAGGTTCCCGAAGCGCACGTGCACGCCTAGGACCCAGCTGACGCCTTGACTAGCCATCTGAGGCCTAATGTGGACATCGATACGTGCAAAAAGCCCCTACCTGGTGTGCTAACTGTCGGTGTTTTGGATCACCGGCTAGTAAATTTGTATTTGCGCGTCTGGCTTAGATGGTGTGCTTGGAGGACACAAGAATTTATACTGGTTTAGGCAGAATGTCCCTACGTCTAGTCTGCTGCTGCTCATGTTATCGGCACTAGTTTATAGTAGGGGTTACAAACGGGCGAGAGATGGAGCGGATCCCAGGTCTCTGGTGGAAGGATTGAAGAGTGCTGAGAGTTTGTTCAGCTGTGTTGCCCCACGTGGGGCGTCCTGATTTTCCTTTTATAGGTGAAGGGGAAGGCGCAGGTTACAGGGAGAGAGAAAGAGAGGAAAGGGGAAAAGCGAGGGAGAAGAAGGCCTCCAGGGCTGTCACGTCCTTCTTTTTCTTCATGCAGGTCACGCCGATGCTGTAGATGGTGATGGGGATGGCTCCACGTCGGGCTCCTGTTCACCACTAGTGCCATGCCCCGATATCATCAGTTGGTCGTGGCGTCCCATCTCGTCCCGGTGGACGGTGTGGTGAACTGACATGCCTGTTAGTGACCGTATAGGGATTAGGCAGCACAGCAACAACGTACCCATCACTGTTGGCGATGCGAACCCCTGGGCATGGCCTGACGTGGCCACGGGTCATGTCAAGACGTGCTCGCTTCCCTCCCGGTATTAGAAGTTTGACCCCGGGGTCATACCCTTAGACCCGTAATGGTTGGAAGCAGTATGGGTCCCCGTCAGGCGAGACGGAGCCCGTGCCCTCGGGGTCGGGCGGGATGGAGCCCGTGCCCTCAGGGTTGTTCGAGATGGCTCCCATACCCTCGGGGTCGAGCAACACGGGGCCCGTGCCCGAGGGGTCGAGAGAGACAGAGCCCGTGCCCTTAGGGTCGGGCAACACAAGGCCCGTGCCTGAGGGGTCGGGCGAGACGGAGCCCATGCCCTCAGGGTCGGGCGAGACAGAGCCTGTGCCCTCAGGGTCGGGTGAGACGACTCCCGTACCCTCGGGGTCGGGCGACACGAGGCATGTGCCCGAGGGGTCTGGCGAGGCAGAAACCGTCCCTTCGGGGTCGGTTGAGACTGAAATACGTCCTCGATTATCTAGGTGAGTTTGTCGTCCACGGTCCTCAAATCCCTTCGTCGGTATCCCTAATATTCATACCCGATAGAATGTCACACTCAATTTTCTAGGGTATCTTTTGAGTAATTATGACGTAAATGAAAATTAGGACGTTGAAATCCATTAGGGTATATCCAGCAGTACTACATAAAATAGGGCCCCTAATTTTCTCTTTAGATCGTCACCTATTTCTCACGGGGTCTAAATTTTGTGGTTGTGTCCAACAGTACTACCTAAATGAGATTTCCTATTTTATTTTCTCACAAACTGCATGTTACCCCTCTATGAGCTTCACTTCTCCACAATTTAACCTAAAGTATTTCAATTGCATATGTTTTATGAACAGCAAATTTAATACCACAAATAATTTGTAAATTCAAATCTAGATTAAAACCACATAGTTTGAACATAATTAAAACAAAGTACCACACCGCAACAAAGCTAGCCCTCAAGTTCTCGGCATCAAGACTTCAAACTCAATAAAACAAAGCTCAAATAGATGCATTACCACCAAATCCATCATCTCCGCAGCACGACTACCACCACTAGAACCACGAAGGCTCTGAGATAACTTAGCCATCTTCTGTGCTGTGATATGTGCCCTTATTGTCAAGACATGCATAATTCTTCTGGTCGATGTCTAACGTGCTAACATCACAAAACATAATCGTTTGCTCTTGTTCCCACATCAATCGTTTCTCCTCAACAGATAGCCTGCGCTCATGAACAAATCCTTCATCTTCCTCTCCTCTTTCTTCTCAATGAGCAACTCCTAAATGGCATTCTTGTATGAACCTTCATCTCCACCCTTATTCTTGATCTATTCCTTTGTACGCTTCCTTCCCATGGGTCTTTGTCCTTTGTGACAGTCGAGATGAATCAGGAGTTTGTGGGCTTCCTATACCTTCTTATGGTTCGTCTTCGTCAACAAGGATTGGATTGGATGGTGTGGCATTGCTAGTCTTTTGCTTCTTGTCATTGCTAGTCTTCTTCTTCTCCTTTGGATTAATTGACTGGAATTTGGGTGGGTTCCACACTTTGAGCCAACAATGAAGCAAAGGAAATCCTTTCTTCTTTCTACACAATTAAGTGTGTTGTGCTTCCAACAACAACTGCATTCACTATGATTCAATGGGTAAACAAGTTTGCACACACACAAACATATTATAATTGAATTGACCAATGCAAATTACAATAAGCTTACATGCTCTTGGTATGTGACCCACTTGGGTGTCAACTCTCCATGGCCTCAAACATTGCTTGAAATGTTTTACACTCCCTCTGAATTGTGCCCCATCTATGCTCAAGTGAACATGCATTCCTGTCGGAATCGAACTTCTTGTTGGCATGGAAGTGATCTATAATTTTTGATCAAATACCTTGCTTGACTGCTCACTGCCAACAATTGGATCAGAGTTGACACTCTCCAAAGAGATGCAAAGTTGAAGATCTTCTTCCTACGTATAGTTGGTAGTTACTTTGGGGGGGCTTTGGTTGAGTGGATTGAACAAGCATGACATAATCGAATCAACATTAGTGCCTTCCAACATCAAATTTGTGTTCGTAATCCATTCCCAAACTAATTTAGAAGGACATAACAAACTAATTCACACAACTTTTAATTCATACAAGATATGAAGGAGGGAGGAGGCGGTGACGTTACTGATGGTCCAGAAAGACTAGGGCCGGTAGGGAGCATGGGACAGGGCAGTGCCGAATGGGGAAGATGACTGCTGATGGTGGGGAGGAGGCGCTCGGGCCATTGGTGGGCATGCTCGGGGCGGTGCCAGTTGAGAGGATGGGAAGCGTAGATCTAGGTGGTCGAAGGCCGTTAGTGGGATGGCGGCGCCCAAGCGAGCCAAGAGGACGAGGGCCGGGTTGGGAGGAGGAGGAGGGCTTCGACAGAGGAAGACGAGGGCTAGACAGGGAGGAGGAGGCGAGCTCCTGCAGTCGTCGATGTGGGGCTGTGAGGGAGGACCCACAAGCGAACTAGCATGGGCTAGTGTAGGGGGTGGAAACGGACGAACATAAATTTGTGTGACTCTGTTGGGCCAATAGAAGTGGATAGCGAGAGAAATAAAGTAGAGGACCAACAAAAGTAGGAGCCCTAGTAGGTAGCCTATTGTAGTTGGATTTTTTTTGCTGTACTACTCAAACACAGAGTATGTGCTCTGTTTAGGTTGCCGGCTAGAGTTGCTCTTACGGTGCATGAATTTGACTCAAGTGAACTTTTTTGTCAAGTAGATCTTAATAGTCATCGGTTGCAAATCCAATGGTGAAGAAAATCATGTACCAGCAGCACCTAGAACATCCGGAGTGTTCTATAATCTATAGACACTCAATCTTTTGTAAGGCTTAGCCTGAATTTGCATAGCTTCTTGTAAGACCATAAGCTCTGGGATTGAGCTCAGAGTCTGAAACAACGAATTTGCCATGGTTCATCTTCAGACCCGAATAGCGAGAAATATAGTTTGTACATGATATGAAGTGACGTAGGGCTAGGATAGAGTAAGCACTGGAACAGAGGATGCAAGGAATGTGTTCGGTGGTAGGACCGACTTCTTGCCATGTCAGTCAACCAAATCTCAGTTGCTTGTTAATTTGTTATCCGAAAGAATGCATGAACTCATCTGCATCTGCATGACAAATTCACTGGGCAGAATGAAGGATAGAAAATTCTAGCCTGAAAAGTGTAAAACCAAGTACATTTTTGCCAGCTCTACACTCCGACGTCGTGCGACTCCAACGTTGCCGGAGAAGGTGTTCTTGTCCTGCACATTCGGCTGTCCGGCGTTCTTGACCGAGTCAGCGATGGTGACATTGCCAAATTAGCAACCATAAGTTCAAAATGCATGGTGGGGGACCTGACTGGAGACGGTGACCTGGATGAGACGGTGTGCTTGGCTCCCGATCCCGACGTCTCGCCTCCCTCGGGCGACACCGGCACCGACACCGCCCCGAACCGGCGCAGCTGCGGGAGCGGTGGCGACAGCGACGCCACGCCCAGGCGGACTTTCTCCGGGCCCGGGCTCCCCCGGCGCACCGGGCACGTGGCGTGCGACAGCAGCCACACGTCGACGCACTCCGCGTGGAAGTAGTGCTTGCACGACGGCAGCATGCGCACCAGCGCGCCCTCGCGGAGCTCGTCGAGGCAGACCGAGCAGCAGTCCGCCGCCGCCACGGCCGAGGCGGCGCCCTTCGCATCGCGACGGCTGTCCAGCGACGCCGCTGCGCGGTACGTGAACGTCGGCAGCACGGCGACGTCGTCGGGGCGGAGACCGAGCGCCTGCACCAGGCGCGGCCGCGCGGGCCCGGCGACAGCATCTCCGGCGCCAGTGCCTGCCGCGACAGCATCAGCGTTGGCGTCGTGCCGGCGCGTCAGGAAGACCGAGTTGAAAAAGCGGCGGGTGAAGTCGAGGAGGACGTAAAGGACGATGGCGACGAAGACGCCTATGCCCGCGTATTGCGCCGTCGTGGACGCCGAGGCGCCGGGCATTGCCGCGGAGATCGATATCGAGCGCGGGCAGATTCCGGAGATGGAGAGAGTTTGCAGAGCGGAAGGGATCGATGTGAGACAATCACAGAAATGTCACCGGAAGTTGTGTGCGTCGTGGATTATTTCTTCTTTCGTGGAGGTTGAGCCGTTGAGGCGTTGGGCAGGCAGCAGTACTGCCGTACTCGCTAGTAGTGTGGTTTGCCATGGACTGGAAGGGTGTTGAGGCAGGGAGATGGTTGGCACGTAGTTGAACGCGGCATTTCGCAGGGTGATTGATGCTTCCCGTGCTTATCATAGCGACTCATTGGACCTGCAAATTATATATTTTATACATGACCAACCGGGTAGCCTGAATAGACACATTGTCGGATTAGAGTCGGGCAGGCATGGCACCGAGAGAATAACAGGACATGACGTGCCTGCCCACCACTGCTGGATTCAGGTTCTTTGTCGAGTGGCAAAGAACACACGGCAAAAAATTGATCGGCAAAGTCTCTCTTTACCGAGTGTTTTTTATCGGGCACTCGGCAAAGGCTTTGCCAAGAGCCCTAGGGGCACTCGGCAAAGAAAAGCGACCGTCACGGCGCCGGCCTTATTGACGGTCTCTTTGCCCAGTGCCAATCCTGCAGGCACTCGATAAAGATTTTTTTTTTTTTTAAAAAAAAAATTCTTTGCCGAGTGCCCCTGGCCGGCGCTCGGGAAAGTTTGAATTTTTTTTAAAAAAAATTCTTTGCCGAGTGCCCTCTGGCTGGCACTCGGCAAAGTTTAAATTTTTTTTAAAAAAAAATTATTTGCCGAGCGCCCTCTATCTGGCACTCGGCAAAGTTTGATTTTTTTTAAAATCTTTGCCGAGTGCCATGGTTAGCCGGAAAAACAGTTTTCCGAGCGCCCATTTTTCCAGCTTTGCCGAGTGCTGTGACCATGGCACTCGGCAACGGGGTCCTTTGTCGAGTGCAACACTCGGCAAAATGATCCAAAACGATAATTTTTTATTTTTTTTTACATTCCATCATGACAAATAAATTCATACAAACATATATCACATATATATCTCATCCATCACATATATATCTCATCCATCTACACATCCATCCGCACATATATCATCCATCACAATATATATCACATATATAATATTAAGTGCTCAAGCCCATCCAAATAAATCCACAAGTCCATCAAAGTCCACAAGTGCATCACAAGTATATCACAAGTCCATCACCAAGTGAACAACAAATGAAAAAAAATACAACGTGCACTCATCTCGACCACTGCGACTGTGGTGAAGGCCTAGCTCCATCATTCAGAAGGTGCATAAGGTGGATTATTCGAACCACCGTCAGATGAAGACTGCACAAAGGATTAAAGATTGCATGTGAGACAAGATTATTTGGATAGCTAATCTAGAAAGGTAGAGGCCATACAAGCAAAGCACAAGCGAAAGTAAAAAACTTTCATACTCACAGGAGTAGCTGCAGCTGCAGGATGCGGAGGCGGAGGTGGAACCAACAGCCCAGCTAGCAGAGAGAAGCCCACATGTTGCTCAAGCCCTTGTAGGAACTTCGTAATGTTTGTCAGCCTCTGCGCCTGGGCCTACCGCTCGGTCCGCTCGGCGTCCAGCTGGGCCGCCAGCTCCTGACGTTGCCTCATTTCTTGTTCCAGCCGGACCTGCAATATTTCACTCCAATGTTTCAGTAATGCAAAGCTAATTAATGTGTCTAAAGATCAATGTATGATGAGTAAAACAGGAATAACCTCGAGTGCGTCGACCCGGTGCTGTGCAGCGGTCAGCCGTGTGCGAATGGCCGGGCTCTCGCTCGTGCTCCGTGCTCGGATCTGGGAGAGAGAGGGAGTAGAGGCCGTGTCGACGACGCCGTCTCCAAGCCAGAACCGTCCATGCTTCTTGCCTTGCCCCGCCCTCATGACGGCCTCTCCATCGAAGTCCTGGGTGCTCGGATCGTGGTCTGACCCATGGAGCGACCTCGCCACCTTAGTGTACTCACTGATGCGGGAGTGGATGCTTGGGTTCGTGTATGCCTCGGGCGGGTCCTCCAGGTTGAAGGGGACGTCGGGCGTCGCCTTGCCCTTGTGGGCCATACACCGTGCCTGGAAGTCCGAGCAAGTCTGGCCACTATGTGACGCCGACTACGAGAAAGACAGCACGATGATTAGAAATCGGGCAGAACAAAGCGTCACAATAGATAAATGAATTCGCGTACCCATGTTTGTTTGTATCCGACGAGGCTGCGGCTGCCTTGATGGTGTGCTAGACCTTGCATCTACAAATGACGGTCCCGGGCATCCCTGTGCATCTTGAGGTACTCCTCCGTGAACCACCTCTCCACCATCATCGCCCAGCACTCGGGATACGCTTGGCACCACCAGGGAATCATCTACACGTCATCAAGTATTGGGCATATAAGAAGATCAAATTAAACTAATTTAATCTCAAAACGAATCAATATTGATGTTCTTTATTTACCTCAAGGTACTGCTCCCGGGTCAGCTGCATCTCTCTTGCGTCTTTCTTGGTTTTCCTCTCTCCAAGCTTCGACCCATAGTAGGTTACGATGGCCTAGATGCGTACCTCGTGATGCATGTCAGTGATGAGTTTTTACAGGCTTTGGTAGTCACCTGCTCCGCCCTGGCCTCAAATTCCTCCTCGCATCTGTAATAAGTCTGCATACAAAAGCGATGTATCCATTCATTATTTCAAGAAAAGTCCAATGAATGCGACGCATTGAGCAATGTTGTGCGAGGGAGACTTACCCAAAACTCTGCCTTCACCCACGCCGCCTTGTTGGGGTACTCCGCATCGGGGCGACGACGTAGTGGTCAAACGAGTAAGCCGGCTCCGTCTTCAATGCGTACGTGACAATGCCGGGGAAGTGTTGCCTACACAGAAGACCCAGGATGCCGTTGACTAGCCGTGCGCTACCACCCGACACAACCACCCAGTTCCTGCACAAGTGATTAAGAAAAATTATTAGTTTTTTTCATCATATCATATGAACTAGTGGTGATAACATATAAAGTTACTTACTTTTGCCCTTCGGGGCGAATCACTGGGCGTTGGTGAGGAAGCGGAACCTGTGGGAGGCTCGCGGGATCTCGCAACTAGACACTCAAAGAGGAGTCGGAGGAAGCGGAACTCGTGCCTGCCTCCTCCCCCTCCTCCTCCTCCTCCTCCTCATCCATCTACCGAACCAGCTCCTCGTCCGACTCATCCACGGGCGCCACCTCCTCTTCCAGCTCCTCCTCACGCAGCGTGGGAGGAGACGGCCCCCTCCTACGCCTGGCGGTCTTCCTCCTCCTGTCCGATCCCTCCACCGCCCCCTCCGCCTCCTCCTGCAGCCGGCGTGGTCTTTGGTAAATCGAGTTCACGAACATATGACGGTCGCCCGCCATCTTTGTTCAATCACCTGCAATAAAAAAGAAAAACAAGACGTATTAGAAAAACATAGTAATACATGTATTACAAAACATAGATGCAAAAATGAACAAAACATAATTACAAAAAATATAGTAATACATGTATTAGAAATATATGCAAAAATGAACAAAACATAATTACAAAAAACATAGTATTACATGTATTAGAAATAATCTTCATGATTGAGATTAGCTAGATCATAGGTCTCGTCATCACTATCAACATTGTCCAACTCATCAACAATATCCGAAGGAGGAATGTTGTCTTCATTGTCATTGCCTAAACGTAATCGCTCAAGCATTTGTATGTCCTTCAGATTTCGCACCTTGTCTCCAGCGTCCTCATCATCATCCCTTTCATTGTCTACTTCCATTCCTATCTCTTCGGTTAAGTCTATGTCAAACCTCCCTTGTAGCCCCTCTTCTTGATAGAACTCTCCATCATATGTGTTTGGATTGAAGTTATAATCTTCATCGTTTGGGACAGGAAGTTTACCGTGTAGCGATACCTTGTGCACAATAGACCAACTCTTAAGATGCTCGGCGTCTTTACACGCGTATGACGTATAATAAACCTGGACGGCCTGTTGAGCCATAATGTAGACATCTTTTCCTAGATAGACGGAATCCTGTCGAATCTCGACTAGCCCAAGCTTAGGGGTCTGTCTTGTTACACCAGGATGAAACCAGTGGCATTTGAATATGACAGGAGTAAGAGGTTTGGAACCATAGAATGATAGTTCGTAGATTTCTTCAATTCTTCCATAATAGTCGAGTCCATCAGTGCCGGGCGTAACAACTCCGCTATTTGTGGTTTTTCGATTGGGCCAACTCTGCTCGTAGCTCGCTGTGTGAAAACGATATCCATTCACGTCATAACCGGTAAATGACTTGACCCTAACGGCACAGCCGTTTGCATCCTATTTCAGCTCGTCACTTATAGGCGCATCAGTTTGGGCTTTCTGTTTGAACCAACAAATGAAATCGGGGCTCTCTGGTCCCGCACCCCGTGAAAGAAGGGTATCATTTTCTTACGGGGTAGGTTGCCTTGATCCATGCTAGGATTGACGAAGAAACAAGGGGGTTGGACGAAGAAACAAGGACATACGGCAAAATGAAACAAGTTCGTTCAGAACTTACCCAATGAACGGCTGCACCTCGACAAGGTTGGTCAACACATATAGCATGATACTACGCCACTCTTCATTTTTCAATTGCTTAGTAGTCAATGCACTTGCGCTTCCGAGTTGCCCTTGGAAAAGGCTGAGGTTCGATTCATTTTCACCAGCATTGTAACGAGGGGGTGGATTATAAATGCTAGGAAGGTTCTCAGTGTAGTATTTCTCTGTGAAGTTCGACACCTCCTCTAGAATGTATGCCTCTGCAATGGAAGCCTCAATTTTGGCTTTATTTCTACATTTTTTGCAAAGAGTCTTCAGACATCTCACGATTGGATAGCACCAATGGTACTGCACGCCCCCCCCCATCCGTGCCTCATATGGGAGGTGCACAATCAAATGCTGCATCGGCAAGAAGTAGCCGGGTGGAAAGATCTTCTCCAACTTACAAAG